TTTTTTTTTTTTTTTTAAGTAATGGCAGAGTAAACACTAGGCATAGCTACAGAGCTCCTTAAAAAAACCAAACCCATTCTCTCTTCTTTTGTAATGCTAGTACAGTCAAGAGTAGAATCAGAAACATAGCAGTCATAGGAAACAAGGCTTTTGTGTACTTTGAAAACACAAATGCATTTATGGTCTGAACTATCTGAAAATGTGTATTAACATACGCAGCTGGAAGGTTACAGAAGCCAACTTAAACACTGGTTCATCAACAGCTTGCAAGATTTTATTATTTGAACTTAGGAAGAAAAAGGGCTCCAGCATTAAACCAGCAGTATTTCTTTTTCCTACTTTCCAAACCCTGTGACTGCAAGGTTACCCCCAACAGCATTGCATAGTTTCTCTGTTTCTTCATTTTGAACATTATAAAGACTAACACACTTTTTAAATTTCTTCCTTTGCACAAGTAACTTACATTTTATCCATTCTCCATTTTTTCAACAAAATGGATATGAAAAACAAGAAGTACCATCACATTGTTTTTAAGAGTGTGATAGCAAGGAAAAACAAACCACACAGGTGAACTGTGCAAGTCTATTGTGTTAGTGCCGCTGTCACAACCTTGATTTCTGCCATCCATGACTATGAAAGCTCTACCTAAGCTATTTACCTATTTCTCATCATTTAAAGCCACCTGGTATCGATACTGCTCAGCTTTAGTCAATGAACAGTTCAAACACTAAGTCATCCCTTGTAGTAGCTATCATGGAAAGGAGAAAAAAAAATATTTTTAGCACAGGACACAGATGAGAAACTAGTAAGTTGTCTGACTTAGTCCAATTTAAAAAAATCAAACCCAGGAGTCTGTTGTGAACACTGAGGTCTAACCATCTCCTCACTTCACCTAAATAATGTGATCTATATTTTAAGAATGTGTAAACAATTCTGGACGGGAACAACAAATTGAGTAAGTTTCTACACCAACCACAGGCAATATATTCACATACATCATCTTCCTACCCATTAATGCTAGAGAGAGAGAAGAGAGAAGACAAGGCTACATTATGTATACCAGATCAGAACATTTATTTTCATATAAGATGTAGACATCTAGGGCATGAAATACCAGTATTTGTCTTGCAAACATTCTGAACCACATCTATAAAAACTCAATCAGAAGTGGTTCTCGAATCCAAACCCTTTGCCTGTACTTTCCAGTATGCAACACCAAAATTATTTTAATTAAAAACACACAAAAAAAGTAACATAACCCTCTGCACAAGGCAAAGCTTAAGTCCATACTAACTATATGCTGCCCAAGGAGACAATCTGGCTTCCAGGGAGTAAGAAAAAGCCAGTAAGAAAAACATTATCTTTCCTTCTTCAAAATAGTCAGTAGTCTCACTTTGCTACTATGAGATAAATCCACTCAATGGCTTCTCCCAACAACAGTCCATGATAGCGATGCTCCTTTGGGTTAGTGTTGCAATCTACATAAATACAAAGAGTATACAAAATGCTAACAGAAGTGAGTGGTGGCATTATGGGGTTAATTTTTCCTTATACATGAACTAGCAATACAACTCTCCAGCATGGTGGTTACAATTGACAGTACTTACCCTGAAATAAAAGTTTATTTTAGTTGAAGATCAACCCTAGCCCTAAACTAGTATTAACAAGTCCAGCTGTGAGGAAAAGAGCCCACTACAGATCACTATGAAGTCTGTGGCTGAGATGATGTTTGCCATCACCTACTTCCCTCCAGTTCAAAACCTTGCTACTGGAATTCCACAGAAGAAAAATACACAATTCAAGATTACTACTTCTACAGAACATTCTTAATATCTAACAGAAATGGCCAGAATTTTTGAAGATTTTTTTCACTACTCAAAGACAATCACAACACTGCATGTTTTGAATGCTATTTGATATCCATTTCCTGTAGTTTTTGGAGAATCTTCCTAAAAAAATTATTTATATTTTTTTAAATTTCAAGATTTAATGTTAAAAATTGAAAACACAGTCTAGACTGAGGCATGACTTGACATGTAATCCCCAACTTAACTTTTCCAAGAATTGTTTTGCAAGAAACTTTGAAATCTTGAGATTTCCTAGTTTGTCAAATGAAGTTAGAGATGTTTTCTATAGAATAATGCAAGTTCTTATCTCATTGATAATATAGGGAGCTTCTAGGAGAAGCAGTCTCATAAACACCTGTGTTTATCAGACTTCAGCACAGCAGTTTAATCACTGAGACCAGTGAATAATTGTACACAGTGTTGGTACTGAATTTCATTAATTAATTAAAATGTAAACCAGCTAACAGTATATGAGATCCTAGGTTCTTGTATCCATATCTAGAAGTAATACTTAAGGCTGAAACACTGACAGGTGTTATTAACAACATTGCAAAGTCTCTTTACAATGGCTTTGTATCTTACGTTAGCACATCCACTGCTGTTTTAGTTTTATCTGCTGAGTTCAATTCACCAGGTCTATCACAAGCTTGATAATCAATACTTAAGATATCTGCAGTTCTGGCAGTAATCTACTGCAATCAAACATTCCAGGAAATTGTTTTCTAAGATTTCTAACTAAGTTACAAATATGTTTTGAAAAAATGTTTTGAAAAAAACCTTTTTTTTCTTTACACTATTAATTCAGGAATGAGGCATCAGTTATGTTTTTTGATTCTTGAGGATCCCTGACAGATGAACTGGGGAATGGGATGCACACAACTGTGTAAGTTATTGGCTTGCAGATAAGCAGCCATGCAGTATCCAGCAATTCTATAATAATCCTCTTGAGCTGCAGCCACAGCAGACGTAATGCACACAGATGTTGCTTTTGCTTTGATGCTCCCTCTAGGAGCATCTAGGATGCAGGAAGATGGATCAACAGTTCAGAAACACCAGGAGATTATTAAAAGTGCAATATCCTTTTAATTATTTAGGGGGTTTATAGCCTTTTTAATTGAGAGTGTGGTTCCATTCCTCACTAGAGCCACTGAAGAAGCAGAGATTCAAACAGGTATTATTAGAGGAACAGTTAGGTTATGGCACGGAGCCTAGAACATGTAACTAAGAAAAACCTCTTGGCTCTCCAGATGCAGTCCCTGCTCTCACAAGCAAGAAAGAACATCATACAATTCCTTTCAGCAATTGATGAGTTTCTGACTATAACCACTATTTAGGCAATTTTTATATGTCATATTTAAAACAAGATCTAAGCTGATGAGAAACAGGTCAACTCAGGGAGAGGCAATACCCACCCTTCCAAACTGAAGTTACGGATGTGGCATTTTCAACGTAGCTCACTCTGACCCTCCCAACAGTTTTGATGAACTACAAGAAGCTGAAAAGCTTTGTATAAACCCAGCAAATTATAAAGATAAAGAGAAAAAAACCTACAGGTATTCTCATAGAAACTGCCCGAGGAACATATTATCCCATGTTCTGATTATACTGTCTGTCTACTGACCTTACAGTGCAGTTTAACTCAAATAGTATGGGCTGCTGTGACCCAGTAAATTAGCGTTTGTTTGCTGTCTTATACCGTATTTCATAGAAGGCTATGTATTTATGGACAGAGAGGACTGCCAGTATTGAACTAAACAAGCATGACAGATCACCTACAAGCATTTCAGACTAGACCTCATGCTTTTCCACGCGATACAATGCTTTTGAGAATAATTCTGACCAGAACTTCAGTGATATGCTCGTATTTTCAGTATATTTAAAGACTGTATATTTAACAATTGCTGTCATAAATTCATGCATGACAGATGAAGGTTCCTATCCAGTGAGGGTCAGTATTTTCCACAAGGTATCGAGTTAACGTTTATGACATGAAACAAAGAGCTGCATTTATTGCATTTGTATTAACAAATTATTTCAGCAAGGTCAATCATAAAACCAGCCTTTCCTATCTCAGTCTCAGCAGAGTATTAAGTATTCAAAAAACCCACATAGTGTAGGAACAGTCCCCACACTAAGCAACCATTATTGGCCCATTTTGTACATAAGTCAACAGCAACATGAGACTGTCACTCCAA